TTTTCCACTATTTGATTAATACACAACATACACAACATACAGCAATCATGGCGAACTGAAAAACAGATGCACCTAGTTCAAGATCGTGCAGAACGATAGAAGTACAGAACGCCATATTACTGCGGCTAACCAATCACCACTAGAGATAGGTGTTAGTTAACCCCCCCCCCCCTCCATCTAAAAACAGGTTTATGCTCCCTCCACTTATTCTTTCCTCCATGATTTTCGGTCACGTTGGATCAGGTTAGGGTTAGGTTACGCGCGGTGTCCTCGTGCTATAACCCCTCGTGTCTCTCGCTCGGCGAACGAGATTGTGAGAATTCGCGACGGCTTCGGAGGGACCATGCGACTCATGACAGCAGTGGGTGCTAGGCTGCCGCTGATCCTGCGGCAGCGCGAGGCGATCGCGCGCTCCTTCCGCGGCGACCGGTCGGCTTCGCATCATCATCATCATCGCGCAACACCGGCGCCGATTTACGTCAGACCGCCGCGGCTGGCGCGAACGGAGTATCCGGGCCGCAGCAGGTCGGAGTTGCTTAGGGCCGGTCGGATTCATCCCGCCATCGCGTCTGTGAGATTTTTCTCGAAAAAGCTCTCCGACCGAGAACCCCCGAGGTAAACTGGGTTTGTTTTAGAGCTGCTTAGTACACGTGTGCTAGACTACACGTGCAATCCGTGCATTTAACTTGTCCGTGTTTTTTAATCCGCGTACACGAATTTAAAGTATCTTCATTTACGTGAATCTTAAAACACGTGTCCAATCGACAGCTCTGGTTTGTTTATCAGTTTGATTTTGGTTCCTCTCGACTCGCCCGAACTTTTCAAACTCGAGCAATCCTCCGAGGGCCTTAGCAGAATGGCTGTCTTCCACTCTTCAGACATAAGACAGTTACCCCTGGTCCACAATCTTGCTTTAAGTAAGCTGTAAGCCTTAAGCCGTAAGAAATTAACCAATCATAGGCATTTATTCCCCTCACTCTCACCTGTGATTAGTTAATTTCTTATGGCTTAAGCCTTAAAACTTACTTAAAGCAAAATTGTGAACCAGGGGTTACTGTGCGTTACTTCAAGACAAAGGCTTAAAACATAAAACATTGTCTCAGAGCTGTCTTAAGAGTATAAGACAGCCATTCTGCTCAGGCCTTTTGAGGCAAGGATTTAAAACAAAACACAAGACAGCCGTTCTGCTACAGACCCTAAGTAGAGACCCTGTAATCAGAGACTGGCCATAAGAGTTTGTCAAATTCCCGCATTCTACGATCGTAGAAGAGTGAGATAGCCTATGTTTCTCTCTCACTCACAGGAATTCGATGAACTCTCATAGCCAGTCTCCAGGTTTGTTTTCTGTTACTGCACTGGTGAACTAGTGCAGTAAGCCAGAATGAGAAAAAGTATACTTGTCTCACTCCAATTTAGTGCACTAGCTCACCAGTGTAGCAACAAGCCGTCTGATTACAGGGTCTCTAGCTCTAAGAATTGTTAGCCGTACTCTGTGCCTTTATCTGTACTATTCTACATTGATACTTTAATCCTGTCTGCTTTATAAAGTTATGACTTGTGTAACAGCTAGGGCGAAGTGTGTCGGGTGACGCTGCTCCCGAGAAAGGTTTTTGTTTTCTAAATATACGTATTGTTTAGCGATGGCGATGGAGAACAATCCGGAGATCAACCCGCTTCTCTGCCCGCAACCGTAGTGGTACCCGAGATATGGCCTTACGTACCGGTAATTGCTATCAATAGGAATCCAGTGTTCCCCAGGTTTATCAAGCTAGTCGAGATTAGCAATCCTGTTCTGATAGACTTGATACGTAGAAAGATTAAGCTGAATCAGCCTTACGTGGGGGTCTTCTTGAAGAAAGTCGAAGAGTAAGCTCATGTTCCAGCATTAGTTCGCATTGATTTATTATATTTTTTTTTACATTTGCATTGTAATAATTTATTCCAGCATTAGTTTGTATGCAGATATGGGACACGTAATGCGAACAATAATAGTAATGTAAATTTCAATTCGTACAGAAATGAGGCCGAGGTCATTCAGAGCTTGGACGAAATTTATCCGATTGGGACTTTCGCCCAGGTGCACGAGGTGCAGGACCTGGGAAACCGGTTGAGATTGGTGATTATGGCACACAGGAGAATCAAGATTGTCAACCAAATTCTGGAGGACGCCGCTCCAAAGGCGGAACACGGTGAGGAATCTGTTTGCAATTTTCACGATAGCATTTTGCAAAAACTGTACTCTTCGTTAATCGATTAAAATTAACTTGTTTGACTTGACGCGGCTCCGTCCTTCGGCCGTTCCGTTTAAATGCTGCCCTGCCTACTTTACGCAGAGATGAAACTGACGTTTCCGCTATTAAATACCACACTTACCGTCTCTGTAGACGACACGATGACCAGTGGCAAGCAAAATCGGAGATCGTTGCGTAAAAAAGCAGAGAATAGGGTTACAGAACGAGCTGAGAGAACAGAGAAGATCGGTGAAGCGGGCGCTACGGAAGTAAAACCGCCGACGGACTCGCCCGACAAGGGTACGGAGAAACCCTTAGATTCGTCAATCCCTCAGTCTGGTAGTCAACCTGTATTAATGGTGGAAGTTGTAAATGTCACGCATGAAAAGTTCAAGCAAACTGAGGAGATCAAGGTAACATACCAAGTGACGTTGAAAGGATTCACAATACTGCTACATTGAAGAGTATATCATTTTGATTTTTTAAAAGTCGATCGATAAGCACATGAAATAAAACATTAATAAATATTAAGGCCGGTGGTATTCGCAGTCAAGTCTTATTTATTTAAAGCCGTCTTAAGTTTATCTTGAGACACTGTATGGAAAATTTCACTGGCTACGGAGTATTTAAAGATGATCTTAAATGTAAGACCTGACTATGAATACTGCCCTAAGCGTTGTTACACACATAGGGCGGTATTTATAATCAGGTCTTGTGTTTAGGATTATCTTAAGATCATCTTTAAATACTCCGTAGCCATCGAATGTTCCATGCAGCGTCTTTAGGTGAATTCAAGACGGTCTTGAATATAAGATCTGTCTATGAATACTGGCCACAGTTTAAAAAAGTCATGCACAACGTACATAAAAATAAACGAATTACGTCCGTTTCTACCAGTGCAGATTAACTTTAATGACGGTTTAAATTGCTTCTTATCTTTCTCGAGTTCGTAAAACTGGAAAAAGATATAAGGTAAGTTGAACCGAGATTAAAGTTTAAGTTGAACTGCGTAGAAACGGGCGTAACTCGAACACCTCGCACATGCACCCATACGCACACGTAATCTCTATACTTTCAAACCGGACTGTTCCTACCCGGTAACAAAGCCGATCCTGTTTTGTTCTTGTAAATCTCGGTTGCCAAGAGACATGTTTGCTATCTTTGGCTTCGTTGATATTGTTGGAAAGTTAGTCGCTATTCCGATTCGAACCGAGTTATCTCGTTATACGGTGTGTCCGAACGAATCACGACTCAAGGTAGAAATCCCCAGGCCTCGTCGAGGCGATCGAATCGAACGTTGCTGCAAATCTCAAAATAAGTACGAATAAAATCGCGTGCGAAGACATGCAAAGATCGGCCCGTCTCTGTGTATAACTTGTACTGTTGTGGCCTCAATAAACTAACGAGACCGCAACGTAAAATGGTTGCGTTAACACAATTCTAGTGTTGAGATTTTGCCGACGTTGTGAGACAGTATTAGTAAAAATTACAATTAAATCCGTTTTTATCAAAAATATATGAAAACAGTCTATTATTTGAAATACATTTTATGTTATATGGTACTAAATATTAAAAATTGTAATTTCATTGACGAAATATTTTCGAAACAGGCATTGACGCAAGAACTCATCAAAACGATCAGAGACATAATCAGCATGAATCCTTTGTATCGTGAATCTCTGCAACAAATGCTGCATCAGGGACAAAGAGTTGTGGACAACCCGGTTTATCTTAGCGATTTAGGTGCTGCCTTAACTGGAGCCGATGCACAGGAATTGCAGGAAGTTTTAGAAGAAATGGACGTAAGTACATCATTGTATTACATATAGCTCTCATATAGGATTCTGTATCCATGAAAAATATGAAAATAATATTTCACTTGTAGATTCTAAAAAGATTGAGGCTGTCGCTCGCGCTTTTGAAAAAGGAATTTGAACTAAGTAAACTGCAGCAGAAAATTGGTAAAGAGGTTGAGGAGAAAGTGAAACAGCAACATAGAAAGTACATTCTTCTCGAACAATTAAAAGTTATTAAGAAAGAGTTAGGGCTGGAAAAGGATGACAAAGATGCGATAGAAGAAAAGTACAGGGAAATAATAAGACAAAAGACAGTTCCTAAGCCAGTCATGGATGTGCTGGAAGAGGAACTGAATAAGCTGTCCCTGACAGAAAGTCATAGTAGCGAATTCAAGTGCGTGCCGAATAATATACATATTACATATGTTCGGAGAGTGATTTATATAAATGTTATATTTTTTAGTGTCACGAGAAATTATCTCGACTGGCTTACGTCTATGCCATGGGGTGTGACGAGCACCGAAAATTTAAGTCTTCAAGATGCTGTCAAAATTTTGGATGAAGATCACTACGGAATGGACGATATAAAGAAAAGAATACTTGGTACGCAGACGCGCTCTTGTACCTGCAGATATTATTTAAGTAACATTATTTGGTATTATAGAATGTTTTTAATTACAGAATTTATTGCTGTTAGTCAACTGAAAGGCAGTACGCAAGGAAAGATATTGTGTTTCTATGGGCCTCCTGGTGTCGGCAAAACCTCAATAGCCAGATCGATCTCTCGCGCTTTGAACCGAGAATACTTTAGGTTTAGCGTCGGCGGAATGACGGACGTAGCCGAGATTAAGGGACACAGAAGAACGTACGTGGGAGCCATGCCAGGCAAAGTTATTCAGTGCTTAAAAAAGACGAAAACTGAGAATCCGTTGATTTTGATAGACGAAGTCGACAAGATCGGCAAGTATGTAATCTTTGTAGCATTGTATGTAAAAAGTATACAATATCTCTGAGTGTAAAAAATTAGTGTATTACCTGAAGATAGAAAATATCTGAAATATTTAAAGGAACGTTTAGAGAATGTCACAGAAGAGTAAAAAATGTTCGGCATTTCTGTGGACTTGTACATTGCCTACAACATTGTGATCTTTCAGGGGACATCAAGGAGACCCGGCATCTGCTCTTCTCGAGATACTAGATCCAGAACAGAATGCAAACTTCCTGGACCACTATTTGGACGTTCCGGTAGACTTGTCGAAAGTACTGTTTATTTGCACGGCCAATGTAATAGACACTATTCCGGATCCCCTGAGAGATCGTATGGAGATGATAGACATGTCCGGTTACGTTGCCGAAGAGAAGCTCGCCATCGCGAAACAGTACTTGGTTCCACGAGCCAGGACCGAGTCTGGGCTCAGCCAGGAGCAGGTCAACATACAAGACAACGCGCTCACGACGCTAATCAAGTCCTACTGCCGAGAATCGGGGGTAAGAAGTCTGCAGAAACACATAGAGAAGGTGCACAGGAAAGTGGCGTTCAAAGTTGTCAAGAAGGAAGCCGACAGGGTCGACGTCACCGCGGACAACTTGCAGGATTTTGTGGGCAAGCCTGTGTTCACGCACGACAGGATGTACAACGTTACTCCGCCTGGTGTGGTGATGGGACTGGCGTGGACCGCCATGGGCGGGTCCACGCTGTACATCGAGAGTACAATCAGAAAGCCGACGGGCGGCAAAAATGCCGAGGGTACTTTCGAGGCCACTGGCCACCTGGGTGACGTGATGAAAGAATCCATGCATATCGCGATGACGGTCGCGAGGAATTACTTGAGACGGGAGGATGCTTCGAATACGTTTCTGTACGATTCCCACCTGCACATACATGTGCCTGAAGGGGCGACCCCGAAAGACGGACCTAGCGCAGGTGTGACGATCGCCACCGCGCTCTTGTCCCTGGCTAAAAATCAAGCTATCAGACAAGATGTAACGATGACGGGCGAATTGAGCCTTATGGGCAAGGTACTTCCTGTCGGCGGTATCAAGGAGAAAGTAATCGCGGTGAGTATAAACCTCGATGTCTACTTCTTCGATAATACATACATGGTTTAATACACGTAGTTTTAGTAAATCACTTGTCACTTAAGCATGCGTTTGTGTCAATACTTATTACAGCTTTATGAAATGTGTCGTTTATCGTAAACTTGTGAAACGCTCGCTTTGTTATTCAAGGTACAAGATTAACAAACGACGCTCTTACTTTTAGGCGAAGCGAGTCGATGTCAAATGCATAATTTTGCCCGACGAGAACAAGAAAGATTTCAACGACCTGCCTAAATATATCACCGACGGACTGGAAGTGCATTTCGCTTCGACGTACGACGATGTTTATCGTATATGTTTCCCAAAGCCGGGCGAGGTCGATTCTCTTCGGTCCAAACCAGTCGCCGACCACGTTTCATCCGCACAGCCAACGTTCGGATAATTGCGCATTTAGAATTTGGAGCTCCCTAGTACACGTGTACTCCGTGTATTTAACTTAACCGTGTTTTAACCCGTGTAAACGAATTTAAAGAATCTTCATTCACGTGAATCCGTGAACACGTGTTCACGAATATCCGTGTATGTGACACGTGTAGCCGTGTATACCTAAATAGGGAAATATCTAGAGAATTATGTGACAAATTCTGGATGAAACTTGGAATGCTGGAATTATGCGTACGCATATGTCAAACAACGTATGCAGAAATAGAGATCTTTCATCAAATTTTGATAAATATTCGCACGGGTTTACACTTATCACACACACGACTATACGTTTACACGTGTCACGTACACAGGTACACGTGAATGAAGGTACCTTAAATCCGTGTACACGCGAATCTTAAAACACGTATCCAATCGACAGCGCTAATTTAGATACAGATACGTTCATATGAATTTCTCCTTCATTCAATATTATCGTTCCTCGCATTATTGATCTGCTGTATCACTTTGATACCATTTAATACGTACAAACGATATAAACCAAATGGTACATGCAGTTCTGATCTGCTGTTTCTTGTACATAAAATCTGACGATATAATTGAAAAGGTAATTTGCATACTTATCTAAATAATTTACATTTAAAAGTATTTTTTTAAATTTATCTTACCTATTTTGTTAAAATCTCAAACTTTATTATTTGCAATTATTTGATTCACAGTTGGTATGTTTTTTCCCCCTTTAGGAAAACGATACGGATGTAATTAAGCTATTCTGGGGACACAATTAATTTATGTATGTGTACATATAATTATACAAAATAAGAGGGAGAGAAAGAGCTAACCGTAGTTAATATTTTAAAAAAACAAAGCTTTTTGTTACGTTACTTTGTATGAATGGTCACGTTTTTATTATTATTTGCGATTATGTAATGTATAAATGCAAATATAAGAAAAATAATCTTTTATCTTTCTCAGGTCTTGTGTTTCTTCAAGAATCGACTTTTTTCTACGACATAATTCATGCGCATCTGTGTAACCATCGAAAATATTTTTCTATTTCAAGGAAACTTGTACACATTACTAACCCGTTACACTTACCTAGCAGATGTGATTTTTTTAGTGACAATACTGTTTGATACGACGCTGTATGTAAACTTACATTGTACAGAGGACAATTTTAATTTAAACATTTTATAACATAAGCCTATGCAGTCTGTGATATTCGGCGTTTAGGATTTAATAAATAAATATATGACAAATGCAATGGTTCTAATGAAACAATGGCTATCTGCGAGTGATAAATACGACTGGAAGAGCAGCGATTGCACGAGGGATAATTTTATATTCGTGTCAAGTTGGTATATCCATCTTGCTGAGTCTGATTATAAAGTCGCACAGCCTCATCTGCACTTGAATCTCCACTGGATTGTTCGTCACGTAGAATCCGGGTACTCCAGCCTTCTCCAATATGCTTTGCTGATCGGCCACTTTCTGGTCCAGCTGCAGGACCAGCTTCATGTCCATCTGCCTCAATTCCTCCTTGTGCTTCTTGTATTGCGCCACTTTCATCGCGGCCAGCTCCTCGTCCACCGTCGTCGCCGACAACGCTTCTTGGCACTCGATCTTCTGCTGATTCAGAAGCTGGAGTCGCTGCTGGAAGAGATGCTTCTCTGTGACGTGCTGTATCTCCATCAGGCCCTTGACTATCTCGAAGATGGTGTCGTTCAATAGCGAGTTCGCCAGGCCGGACAACAGCTCGTACGGCAACCGCATCTGATACTTGGGCGGCAACTCCCCGGCCATGTGCTGCAGCTGCTCCACGAGGAAGTAAAGCTTCGTCTGCAAATCCTGAGGAGTAGGGCTGGGAATATCCATCTCTTCCTTCGACAGGAAATATCTATTCGTCGATGTACGTTCGGTTCCCTTCACTAGTGGCCAATATTTATCTTCAGTAATTACAGTATATTTTTAACCATTTCTTTTGATGCAATTTACCAAACAACCTTGGTGCGTTATCAATAAAAATTAAGGAGAAGCAACGCTGTCTTTCTTCTCGTCGACATATCCTTGTGTAAGCAGAAAACAAGTTGTTTGACAGCAAGCGGGATTTTACGCGCGTGCTTCTGCAGGCTGATAAGAGCCAATCAGGACGCAACGAGATAGGTTAGGTGAGATTAAACGAGCGTTCCTGAAACGGATAGAGTTTGGACAACCAAAGAAAAATTGCACCTTTTGCACTTAAAACTGTCTGTTTCGCGGGAACATTTGTGTAATATACAAATTAAATGGCTCACGCGTACAGATCGAAAGCAGCTTGCTATTCCGGCTAAATTAAAGAACAATATGTATCAGTTTGTAAGTCTAATAAAAATTAATAGTGAGCAACACACATACCACATGTACTGTATGTGTGTGAAGGCGATGTCGTGCAAGAATCTGAGAAAAAACACACGAAGAAGAAAAAGAGACATACATAAATTATGTATAGTACAAAATGAATCAATGATCAACAGGTTTATAAAATAATTTTAAAAGTCTGCTGATAATAAATTTATATTTGCTAAAAAAAATTATAATTAGAAAAATATACATTTTGTAGATTTAACAATCACAGATTTTTATTCTTATAAATATTTATATTTGTATTAGAAAAAACGCCGTAAAATTGTTCTTAAATTCTTTTGCATAATCGTTCCAGATCAGTTACAATCGAAGAAATTGTTTTCTATAATATATTTCACGCACTGACAAATTAAATTTCTTTCATGCTGTATGGAACGCGAAAGCAATTTTTCTAATAATTTATTACGATATCTATGTAGAATCCTCTCATTTTTGTTATTAGCTAGTATTCGATTTGTTTCGGGAATTTGCTTATTTTGATATTTAGCGACAGTATCTTGAGATTTATTATTTGAATTTTCATTAATTTGTTTATTACTTGAGTTATCACCCGCACTGGTATCAGATCGTGTATCAGAAGTCTTTTCACAAACTTGTACAGAATCTTCTTCTTTGATCGTATCATCCGTTACCTTAGTATCTTGCTCCTCTATTTTTACCTTTTTCACCGGCACTTCTTCTGGACCTTCATCTAACGATAAAATTAACGTCTTTGTTTTACGAAAGAATATATGAATAACAAATTAATATTAATTAGATTTCGATAGATTTCAAGATACTCTTATGCTAATTAATATATGTAGATGATAAGACTAGTATTTACCGTCGTCTTCACTTTCATAATCTGCTACTAAAATAGGTAATACAGGCAAACTGATCACGGGTAAATTAGTGGACTCGGGTGTCGTAGGTGCTTGCGGTACATCATCCTCGTCCGAGATATTGTCAATAACATTTTCCTGCAAATCTGTTTGTCCCACCTGTTCATCCGAGCAAGCCAGGCTATCTTCTTGTAAAACACCTATAGCAAGAAATCAATTTTCTTTAATATCTTGTATATAATGAATTAATAGAAAAAAATTTTAAATCATTAATACGAACCACGCATTGTAATTATACATTGTGATTAGCTTAATTTGAGTTTTGTAAATATGACTGATTTAATACAGAATTGAAATGTCAATTTAATACACTTGAAAGATCTTAGATCTATTTTTGGACAAAGGCAAATTGTATAACTGACAAATTTATTCTCATAACTTACTTATTCCAGGAAACGGGTGTAAACCTCTATACGTTTCTACCGCATGGAAGGAGTTGTTAGTTTCGTATGTACGTCGTTTGCGAGGTTTGCGTTTTTTCTCGCGCATGTTCTTTTTCATTTTCATGTGTACATTAGAATTTTCCTTGATTACTTCCCCTCGTTGTAATTTTTCTTGCTCTTCCGCCTTGCGCAACTTGATGTTTTCCTCAGTGGGATACCTCCTATTTTTTTTATTCGAAATAATTTTGTTACTTGCGCCTACTAATGCATTTATATTTTAATAAGTAATTAAACTGTTAAACTCACTTTTTCCGCTCAGTTATCCATTTCTCGATGTCTTCCGGTGTCGACAAATCCTTAATTCTCTGATACAAACCGGTACGATGCTGCATACTAATATGTTTTTGAACGAGCATAGGATGCGCCGAAAACGTGCAGTCATCAATCCCACAAAGCATGTGCGTGCTTTTGTGCTCGACAAGGGCATCCTCGGATGGAAAATCTCTATCACAGACCTCGCAATAATGAGGTGCGTCGTCGTCATCAGAACTGACATTATTTTCATCTCTCTGATCATACGGCTCTTCATCAACTGGATACAGATGAGCCTAGAAATAATTACTTTTCTCTTTACATAAAGATCTTTATATAAACTTAACAAATCAACAACATTGTACTATCATTCTTAATCCTATGCTTTACTTCTTATTGTAAAATATTTTTGCTGTTTCATTTATCTTTAGTTATAAGCAAATATAATACCATAATCTTGTACCAAGCTTCTACTATCATTACCTTCCTGTTAAGCGACAAATGATTATTGTGCACAACACCTGAAGCTACGAGGTATTCAACCGGGGTATTCAGAAATTTTATACAAATACACAAATTCCTTTATGTACACGAAGCACAGATTTTCTTCTCATTGCTTACATCCTTTTAGATTATTTGAACAATTACAAAATTTGCGCATATCTTGTCCGAGCATTAATTAATCCATATTTTTAATAAAACTTACAATAGTGATATACATAACTTATGTACTTAATTGCGACATTAAAAGCTTAACCATTGAGACGTTTCATAAATTACATAATAGAAATATATAAAAATCTTTGTAATTACAATTGTATTTTTCTCTATGTTAAGTGTCAACAATGTTAACGCATTTCTATTCACATTTTATACATTAGTACGAGACCTGAGCATCTATCACAAGCTTGCATTAATTGTTGCTTCATCAATATCTGAATGACAAATTACTAAAATTGCAAAACTCACAAAAGATTATTTTCATATTTCAGAACGATTGTTTTACGCCCAATTTTAGTGATTCATAATGATAGAATGATGGGGGAACACCAGAGAATTGGAACTTATAGAAATATGATTTATTTTTACAATGCGCATTTCAATTACAAATTCATTTTCTTTTGTGTATCATTCTATAGTTTCTGGAAGTCATTTGTGATACAAATAAGTATCTTAAATATGCTATAATACATATATATCCATATATATATATATAGCTGATCATTTATAAAAGTTATTACTAATCTAACAGAACCACAAGCTACATCAGACTTTTTTGTGTACATTACGATACTCGTTTTATATAAATAAACTATAAATTTATATATTTAAATGTCATCACGGTTTAGACACTGTTGTTACTGTTTCTTACACGTAGTATAGCTTGCGGCACTGTATACTGGCCATGTATACTAGATGTGAAGGAAACTTAAGAGAAAAATTTATTCACAAGTGGCCAGTTTTTACATATCTGATGAAAAATGATTACATCTAGTTAACTGTCATATTACAAGTGCTTATGTGATACTATATATCACGATATTATATCTGTATGAATAGGTACATATCGATATATAAAAAGAGACAAGATCAACCGTTAATTCTGACAGAAACGACCTTAAAGCTGTAAGACTATTGCTATTTGAACTAGCTGCTGTTTTTTCAACATTGTCTTCATCAGCACGTTTCTTTAACACTAAATACTTATAATGTAAATAATACTTAAAACATGTAAATGTTATGTAACAAAAATTATGAAAAGGGGGAGAGATGTGAAAGTCAGTATCTACAAGTAAAGATCTTATAGAATTTACAAACGATAATGCACATGAAAAAAATCTGCTAGATAGTATCAAAACATAAAGATTAAATCGTTCTGAAGTTTGAAAACAGATACTTGTGTTGTATATCATTTCAATTGTATATAATTCTTTAACAGAAGGAGTAGCCTGTTAAGCTTAAGACTGTGCCTGTTCGCTGGGAGGCTGCGTCTCCTCTATTTGCTCCGTTTGCTCTGATTGTTCAGTTGAATTCTCAGTTTTCTGAACACCCTCGGATTCATTCGTATTGTAATCATCTGTTTTCTTATCACCCTGTAAAATTAAAGTAAGCAATCAACGTTGAATGTAAGTAATGGAACAGGCCGGACTTCCGTCGCACAACGATTACTACAAATTTGCCGAATATACGCTTAAAATGGAATAAAAGACGTACATTTTATAATAATATATTTGCTATTAACTAATTCCCATTTCTTATCCATTTTGAATCGCACATTTTACATTTGCCATCAGGAAGAAACAAAAGATTAGGCACTATGCAATCTTTGCGGGGTTAAAAGGTATAAATCTGAGATACATGGTTACATTTTTAGCGAAAAAACTGTAACTGTAACTAGATACTTTTATAAAGAACAATAACTTTCGCTACCCTGGTCCTATGTTAGTCCCCACTAGGTGTACGAATTATTTTTTGTGTTGTTAAATCGAATCGAATCTGCCAAAATACTTTCGAATCGAATCGCATCAAATTTGTCCATGTTCGTTTATGTTTGAATTTGAAAATAAAAGCGTAAACTTGATTATCTTTCACTGATATTATTTTAACAATAATTTTATTATTACATTAAAAATTGTATTTATTGAGGAAGAAAGTGACCAATTCGAAGTCGAATCGTTGATATAATTCGAATTCAATGAATTATGCGAATTCGAATCTCTTTGAATCAAACTCTCAGTGATACACCCCTATTTATAATAACATTATGGAGGCCGTGCTCGTTTCGCATTCGCCCACTCTGAGGACGATCTGTTCAGGCAGGGTGACGGTGGGAAATTTGTTTAATTACTAGAGGACTCTTCGGGGGTGCGGCCACTCTGCGTCCATACAATGGTCTACCAAACCACTGAATGAGATACCAGGCATCACTCTGGAGTCGTGCTGCTAGCACACTATTCCTACTTTATTCAATAGAATAAAGTAGGCAAGCGAGAAGGATTTTGAGCGTGGATCTAGATAGCTCAGTTGGAAGAGCATTTGCCCGGCAAGGTCCCAGGTTCAAATCCTGGTCTAGTCTTACTTGTTAGCCCGTTACTTTTCTCGCTGGAAATTAATAAGTGGCGCGTCTTAGTGCCTATCTCCCCGAAGATACACTCCTATTTATTACTTCACGGAAAAAGAACATCAACAAATTGATTTTTCTAATAAATTATTATATATAAGACAGAGCGGATAGAATTGTGCAAATTCGATTCGATTCGACTTTCGCTTTTCTATCCTCTTATCTCTAAGCTCTTTGGATTTATTAAGAAATCCAACTTGAGTTTCGATTTTTTTCCCTAAAATGAAATATAAAAAATACTACATTACCTGTTCCTATTAATTGAAAAATATTCAATGAAACAAGTTGTACATTTTATATACAATGGAATAGCTCACAAAATAGCTATCTTTTTTGCATGCTATTTGCATAGTGCAAATTATTGTCATCTACGTAATAATTTGCATATTATGCAGAGTTGTTCATATTCTAATTAACACATATACACATATACACACTTAGTGTCTAAAAATTTGAAATGTTTGAAAATAATAAGAAAAAAATTTACATCAAGCAATAGAAGGATACAAAGAAAAGTATAACAAGCAAGTTTATAGAGATGAAATAACGTTACCTGCAATTATATAATTTCTTATCTATAAAGATACTTAAAAAACCAAACAACCAAGTCACTATATTTGAAAATTAACAAGTGGCGTTTGTGTTTGTGTAACAATAAAAATTTGAAATCAAGAAAATATTAAAACTCTTGACATAACAGAGACAAAAAGATACCTGTTCCGGATGCTTTGCAAGGTATTCATTTTTTGCGTCTCTTATCATCCTCGTGACTCGGTTGCGAATATCCTTAAATTCTTCCCATTCTACTGCCTCTTTGTTCTTTTTTGCTTTAGCGTACAGTTTGTTTTTTCTTTGAATCTCATTACGAATTTCGTCAGTCATCCATGGTTTCTTTAATTCTAAATCCTGTGTATAATTACATTTTCCAATAAGATTTAAGCGCCAGAACTTAACAACTAGTACAAAATTTTCTTCTCGAATTTTAGCTGTACGATACCAATTGTCACATTATCGTAAAACGAAATTTTAATCTCGTCAAATAACAATTTGCGAAAGTAACCGGAGTAAATCGTTACGAACACTCCAGAAACGCTTTACACAGGGTGCATTCGCGGAGCACGTTATTAGCACGAAAAGGCGCCTTTTATTTTTCTTCAACACACAATGACCAGTAAAGACCGAGATACTTTCAGCGCTCCGCGAACGCACCTGCGGGAACCCATATAGAAATGGAACAACAGCAAGAAAAAGCGTGTAACTGTCGAATCTACTTAAACAAAGCTCTTCAAACGAACGGAGAGATCACTTTTCTTAAATGTATGCAATTTGAGAAAAGCAACTGTTGAAGTGCCAGCGAGGGCCGGGATGCTACGTACGTCGAATTTGCTCTTCTTCGAGCTCCCCATCGCCTTGCCCTTCGCGTTCCCGTTGCCCATCCGTTCCGAGGCGAATCTGGGCCTCATGGGCATCATCTGCGGCGGCAGCGGCATCCTCCGCGGCCACGGCCGCATGGGCGGGCCAAGTGGTAGGCCGGAGCCGCGCGGCCCCATAGGCGGCACGATGGGCGCCATGCCGCGCGCCCTGGGGCCGCCGGGGAACCTCGGCAGCATGCCGTTGGGCCGGGACACCCCGGAGCGCGGCGGCGGCGGCAGCCTCTGGCGCGGCCCGCCCGGCCCGAACATCGGATTCAACGGCGGCGGCGGCGGCGGCATCCGCGGCGGCATACCGTGGCGCGGCGTTAGTCTACCGACGAACCGGGGCGGCGGTATTCTGGGCCCCATGAGCGGGCCCCTGTTCAGCGGGCTCATTCCTACGCGTGTTTCTCACCTGCTCCCGGAGCGGAGTCTCTGCCTCCGACACGACGTCTTCACCACGGTACGATCACCGGCAGGAGGGGAAGAAAGAAGAACCCCTCGACACAAGGTTATGAGTGCCGCGCGCGCGAATCGTACCGATGCGAAGTTGCTCGTGCTCCGCTTTCTTATCGTTTCGCGCCCTCTCTCTCTCTCTCTCTTTCTCTCTCTTGCTTTCTCTCTCTTTCGGCGTGCGAAAATTTATTGGATTAACTGGACCGCACGTTGGTCAAGCGCGAGCGAATACGACATCGCACGCGCCGCTTCGAAACACGGACACGAAATGGGAGTAACGTTACACGAGATACACGTGAGATTTGAGTGCGGTCTCGGACTTTCCGTCTGCGCTTTGTCGTCGCGTTTTTCGTACACGCAGTTTCCACTCGCGCGTTCGCAAACGCATCTCTGCGGTCAACTAATCGACTCGACCAATGATCAGCGCCGACTGTCGCCTTCGTTCAAATGAGAACGGGCCACAAAGTATTGGCGCGGGACCCGCGTCCGGCGAGATTGCGCGTGCGCGCGCGCGCGCCGGGATGCGTTTGCGAACGCGCCGGTCGGGCGGGCGGCGGCCCGATTGGCCGGCGCGTTTCCCACGCTCGCGATTGGCCGATTTCGCGCAACGCTCCCGATAACGTTCCGCCAGCTGTTGGTGTTACGTTTGTTTGAAATCAAACGGCAACCGTGGACCCGTTGGTTGGTTGCCGAGTGCGCCGGACTTGCCGCGATCCCTGTCATGCACCGCCGGCTGTAGGAGTGGACCAACGGGGGCCATCGAACGTTCCGCCGCGGCACGCCAAGAGACCGGGGACGGAAGCGCGCGCGCTCGCTCGCTGGTCAAGCTAGCTTTTCGCTTCACCCGGTGTCCCGTCCTGGCGGCAGAGAGGCTCCCCCTCCCTAGTCCCGGTGGTCGACGTTGTCACGATTTCTTCCGCGCGTCAAGAGGTAACCGTCGCGAGCCAACCGGCGAGGATGGCGACGATCAGGCATCTGCACCAGGAGGACCAGGAGAATCGCATCGCCGGCGATCTGCGCGGCCGCGGTAAGGAGAACCTCGCCGCCGCCGCCGATCTGCGCCGCAGCAAGGAGACCCTCCTCGCCGCCGCCGCGGCCGCCGCTTCCGATCTGTGCGCCCGCAGCAAGGATACCCTCGTCGCTACCGCCATGAGCACGCAGACGTTACACCAGAAACGCGCCGTCCTTGGTGTCCTGCACAACAATGCTCACAACAATGCGCGGAACGGCACGAAGCCCGTACGTAGAGTTCATCTCCTTCCTCCTCTGCGACTGCGACCGGCACCGCGAGCCACGTCGCTCGACGCTGCCGTTCGCGATTTATCATTTCTCCCCCGACAGACCTCTTTGCTGCAATCGTGGAGATTAGCAAATTTATTTACTAAACTTTCATTCAGCGTACAATTGATTAGAATTTTGGAGTAGAGTGCCGCATCGTTCATCATCGCTCAACGATGATTGCTGTGTAAAATTAAGTTTGATTTCATTAAAGATTGTTCAAAGTAGAGTCAATGTATAAGTACGGATCTCCTTGTTGAAGATCAATTTGACGTTACCTTGCGCACTCGTCGTTCGCGTTGTAACCTCTTTTTCTTTACAATTGGTAAGGTTAAGTGTTAAAAGCTAGTGCGTGTATTACAAAAGGTCTTCCGTCTTTCTCTATTTAGCAGGAGATCTATAAGGATGAGAAGCATCTCAAAACAATATATATACCTGTGCCCTCCGAGCCCTTCAAAGTTTACGAGGAGGACTCTTACAAGAAGGAGGAACCAGCCTTCAAGATTTACGAGGATAAGCTGGAGGTGGAGGCGTCCGTCGCGCTTAGGAACTCGAAGAAGAATGAGGAAGCGAAAGCAGTGCAAGAAACGACCGCAAAGTCCGATAGAGAACAGCCGGCATTAGACTACGACGCGGGCACTTTGGACAGCACGTCCACCTACGTACTTTGTAGTGAGCTCGACAAAATCTATCCAGTTAAGGCGAAAGCCTTATCGCAGGACAGTCCCATGTCTGTGGGGATGTCATTGGAGAAGTCTCTCCCGAATAGCAGTTCCTCCAACAACGAGTACAGAACCAGAAGGGAATGTAACAAGGGATTGAGAACCAGTTTCTTTGACGTAGACGAATACAGGGCTGATATATACAATTATTTACGGGAATCGGAGGTACAAGCTTATTCGCAGTCTACATTCATTCGCGTGAATTAATATCAAGCTAAATTAAGCGAATATTGAGTTTTTTTTTAACGAGACTTAAACGAGAATTGACTACTGCTAATATTGCTAGATATATTGCATTGTGAAAGAGTAATGTTAATTCTACGCGTGAAAGAAGTCTTTCGCAAGTCTCTTTACTTTATTTCAATGTTGGAGTGTTTGCTAACTGTAAGTTTTCTTTTTTGCAGTTGCTGCATAGACCAAAGCCCGGCTACATGAAGAAACAGCCTGATATCACGTATTCAATGAGGTCTATATTGATAGACTGGCTGGTAGAGGTAGCTGAAGAATATCGATTGCAGGACGAGACTCTTTACTTGTCGATTTCGTATATCGATCGCTTTTTATCGTACATGAGCGTTGTAAGAGGAAAGTTACAACTCGTTGGGACTGCCGCTATGTTCATCGCGGCGTGAGTTCAATTTCTGAATTCTGAATTCTGAATTCTGAATCGCACCTCAAGAAACCTCCGATAAGATGAATCTTATTAAAAATAAACTCATTTGTTCCCGATATATTTCAACTTCCTTTGCAGGAAATACGAGGAGATTTATCCGCCCGATGTAGGAGAATTTGTATATATCACAGATGATACGTATACGAAGACGCAAGTGATAAAAATGGAGAATTTGATATTGAAGGTTTTGTCGTTCGATTTAACTGTACCGACGCATTACTCGTTCCTTATGGAATATTGTATCAGCAATAACTTGTCGGATAAGATAAAATTTTTGGCGATGGTAAGTTTCGATGAATGAGCACTTACGATTTTCTCAATTGTCTCTTTAACTTTCTCTCTCCCTATTTTCAAGCTTTAATGTTTCACGCGTTGTTTCAGTACCTGTGCGAGCTGTCGATGCTCGAGGGAGACCCGTACTTACAATATTTGCCCAGTCATTTGGCTGCGTCCGCGATAGCACTAGCACGGCACACGTTACACGAAGAGATTTGGCCACACGAATTGGAACTGTCAACCGGATACTACTTGAAGCCTCTTAAGGAATGTATTGCGTACTTGAGCAGAACCTTCTCCAATGTCCCCAACATCCAACAAACGGCGATACAGGAGAAGTACAGAAGCAGCAAGTAAGTAGAAATGTTAAAAATGACATGGTTCACTGAAATAGATATGTAATTTCAAAAATTGCATGACACAATCTAATAATATAATATAAAACTTTTTTTCTATTTTCATTGTGATGTAGAGAATATATTTCTCTTATAGATTATTTGAAGATTGTAATGAAACAATTTTTTCCATAGATACGGCCATGTATCCTTGCTGTTGCCTCGTAGCACCGAGGCGGTGTCGTGCGAGGACGAAGATTAAAAGAGAAAAGCGCTTAGTAAAGAATATTGTCAGACAGACACAGGATAAAAATAACTTTTTTTTTCTGTGTTTAAATTGGTAATTGAATAACGAACCTTCCACAACAGCCCGGAACATTCTGAAATGAGAATGAAGAAGGGGATCGGGACTGACCTGCCATTCCTACAAAACGGAAGGAAGAAAGCGTACGGTTTATTTCTTTCTGTTAGCTCGTTGCAGTCTGGTCGGTACATTTTGCGAGAGCAAAATGATACCTGGCTCTCCTACCTTCATCACACGCATCTTGTATCATCGTCTTCATACTCTCGAGTCATGACTGAATGAAAATTTTAATAGCTGTTCTAGAGTCTCATCATGTCAAATACATGAAACTCTAGAGAGAGAGGGGGGGAGAGCGAGATAATACATTGTCTAGAAATTGTATTTTTTATAAGTACTTTTTAGAGGATTGTGAAAACAACAAATGCTTTTGCCGCGATACACGCAAACGGCTAAAAATTCGATTACAAGTAAACCACCTCTATAATAAGAGTCGATAAGCAAAGCGATTTTGTATTTATTATTAATCGTTTTACCGTTAGGTGCACGCCAATTAACGATAAAAACGACGATATTCTATTTGGGATATTTCCGCGAAATTAATTTGCAATTATTTCGATCACTTTTTCAGTCCTTGTACAGTTATTTATTTACAACATTCTAGGTACCGTAATTAATATCAAATGCGTAGTTTGTTTTATTAGGAATTTAAGGTATCTTTTATATATATATATCCCTGTATTACATTATATACAAGCATATTAGATTATACGCTGTGCAAGATTACATTGTCAATTCTCCCTTGGCACAAAATCGTTTTTGAGTTTCTCTACAAGAACATGCGTGCTAGCTGTTTTTTTTTACATCCCATCATTTATAATGCATGAATGTAAACTTATTGGCATCAATTAAATTTTAATACATTCGTTTCGATGACGCGTATTTACGTTTTCGACCGTATTGACCGTGCAATATTGCACAGCACAATTACCGCATTTTAACATAACGCAAAATACCTAGGTGTTCATCAAATCTAACAAACTGCATGAGAGTATGTTCGTATGAAATTTTAAATACAGATATAAAAAAATGTTATGGAATTGTATACCGTTACATGTTCAGTTCTATGTTAATTGTAAATTATATCGTCTGCTCCATGGTGTAGTATATAGTTGACGTGGCAAGAGGACTAGAATTTCTCGGAGGTTACTATTGCTGAACTGAAAGAAAAAAATTGAAGTAGCCTGAGATGGGCCGAAAAGACAGAATTAAAATTTGTCGCAGCTTCTCCACAATATGCACAACGTACAAACATCGAAATTTACGGATAAAGTAAAAAATGGAATTAAACTTTGGAAGGAATTGGTAGGATAAAATTTAAATTTCGAAGAGAATAATTTCTACTTAGGCTTCCACTACAAATGCTTCAAAGCGATTCTCTTCTATCTTTAGTGAAGGAAAGGAGAAGACTAGCTTGGGAGTATTTGTAGCAGCAGCTTGACTGCAGCCTTAGAAAAATCTGGTTTTAAACCAAGGTTTTATCTACCAAGACTTTTCCCTGGTAATGTTGAAAACTGAAAACGTGATACATACGAATATTTTTTATACTATATTTTCATATTTATATATCGGACATAGTACGTTCTGTACCACGTTAATAAATAAAATATTTTTCGGAGCCGTTTCGACGTAACACAAAATCGTTGTATCAAACGTTTCCGTAGCGAGTTTGTAGACGAAAGTATGACTAAGATAACAATTGTAAATACCAAAAATTCATTCTTTTTACGGAAGTCTTGGAAGGAATAAAAAGGAAGAATGAAACACTGTCATAGCAACAATTTTTTTTCTCCACTTTTGTATTAAAAATGCTTCAACAGTACCCAAAAATTTATTCATAGAGCAACGTGCGTTTTCTCGGAAAAGAATTCAAACAACCTCTCTGTCGGCGCATATAAACGTAACAAGTAGTATAAAATGAAGCAATTAAAAATTGATAATAATTAGTGTTCGAGAGCGAGAGCAATTATCATATACTTATGATTAGACCTTATAGCACAGGTATAATGAGGCGCACATTCTACTCGTCGTCAACGGCGAGTATAGGGAAGGTGTGGTACGTATAATTTCGTTTTTTTTTAAGTTTTTTTGTATCACTGGTATGTTGAAGAGTTTCTATGCTTGATCTGGAATAGGAGATATGATATGATTAGATGATTGACACGAAGAACAGGGATTACATTTGGAGCCACAAGGTGCAGGATTATCTAGGCAGTTATCGGTCAGAGGTGTCGTTAGTGTGTTGTTGCATACTGTAACGCACGAACGATTGTTTCTTTTTTTTCTCTCATTACGTTACAATTAATGTAATTCTACTGTTGTTTACACTCATTGGGATCATCGCCTGGTTTCCCTCCGGAAGGGGGGTTAGCGGGAGAGGAGGCCTCTTCTTCTTCATCCTCCTCGTCCTCCTCGTCATCTCCGTCCTCCTCATCCTCATAATCTTCATCCTCGTCGTCTAAAACTTCGCCTGGAATTAAATCAGTCTCGTGAGAAAAACCATTCCAAAATATACGAATATTTTCATTATACATAGATATATTTTTAAATTAAAATACGACTTTCGTCCATGTGCTCAGGTTTTTAATGTCAAATAAGAATGTTGGGTCGCATTCATAATTGCAAGATAGGAAATTGTAATACTGGACATTACCTGTGTAGTACAGCACGGCTCTAGGAACTATGCGTTCTCTAATGTAATGGCCTAATTCGAAATCGCTGGTTAGTAGAGCTTGAGTCTCATCATCCATATCGGCTTCCGAGTCTTCTGGCACTAAAGATGTTTGCGTCAAAGTTAAATTACCAACAAGTATGTCGACTCGCAGTTTTATTACGCTCTACATGGAGAGCTAAGACATGTGAAAAATCAATTACCATTTGGTGGATTGAAGAAATTAAAGAAGGAATCATTTTGAACAGTTTTCGTCACGGTACGCATAGATCCTCGAGATTTATGCTTCTGATTTTTCTTAATAGTTTTTATCGTAACGTTCTTGCCCTTTTTCCAATCGATCACACAGCCCTGTGAGAGAAATTTTCGCTCTTTAGTATCGCAATTACCTGGAAATTGATTACGTCAAATAAAAGCTTTACTTTGCATTTATAGATCTCTGGCCCTTCAAAACTGAACGGATCATTCTTGTCCGGAGTACACTTCATGATGTATTCCTTAGTAAGCATCGAATTAGAGAAATATTCGTTGGGCGTGAAATAGAACTCGAGGATAAATCCCTGAAAATAGTCTCAATTTAAATACAGTTCTAATTATTAATTATATCACTACATTCTGTAGCTTACCATTGGATTTGCCGGCAGAAATTTTACTTTGATATCATGTAGATACTTCAAGATCGGCTCGTCGTGTTCCTGAACCATTTCAGACAGTGTACTTACATTCTTAAATATTGTTAGCCAGAAATCTGGGATGCCTTTAATGTCATCCTCGTTCTCTGTCGCTCTGAAGTCACATTGTCCAAATTTGCATGTTTAATCTTTCTTCATTTCTCGTAGACAGAGGTTGATTCTTATCAAGTGACCGATTTAATTATCAGCGAAATTGGAAGACACGTGGAAAACTAGTTTGCACCAATATGTTCAGTACAAAGGGGAACGTCATATGGTAAAAATGTTGAAATGTTCTCAACGTCTCCAGCCATAGAACAATCGTTTCCGCCATATGACGTCCTCCTTTGTATTCAACACGTCGGTACAAACTAGTTTTCCATGTCTTCCAGTTTCGTTGATATTTAAATCGGCCAATTCACGAGAAGCACCCTGTATAAACACACATTAATATTATAATTAAAAGAAAAAACATACTCATCCTTTCTCTCTACATTCTCCTCGATCTTTGCCTTCTCCTTCATATAATTATTTAGCGTTTCCTCATCATCATCGCTGTCCCAAACGCACTGGTCATCAGTCGGCTCGTAAGCGCCCGATATTATGTCACTTCGCTTCTCGTACAGGGGCGCACACATTTTGTAGTATTCACACTCCAAGGCATGGACCTCCTCGTAAAATTTAGCCTCGATATTGGTGGTGACAAGCTGCAGTTGTTTCAGTGCCTTGATCCTGCGTTTCACAGGAGCAGGAAAAGACTGCATTGGCTAAAAGAAGAAAGGATACAATTTGTACGCCCGCGAGACTTCACCGCAACAGGCGCGACAATCTGGCACTTAATGTTTCATCGAGCTTTTTTAAAGTTTCGTCTCTTTTTTACTTCAACAACACGCTATTGATTGAAAGAGTTATTGCGGTTCGTTACTTCACACGAAACATTTATATATGATATTCGAATTAAACCAGCAAACTACGGATGGACATCCACAATTTGACGAGATGCGTAGCAAACGTGATGTTATCATTCAGTCGAAAATGGCCGGGCAAGTGGGATGTAAAAGCGAACAAGCATGAAGGTGGGGGAGGCATGCGGCTCACAGAGAGATCGTTGCAGTACCAATGGTTTGCGAGATGACGCGTTTAACGAGATTTCAGTTTACACGAATTCGAAGATACATCTGTTCCGCGTGACAACTCGCCGAGTGAAGACTGGGAAGTAACATTCCGTGCTTTCCAGCAAGCGACACAAGTCGACACAAATGTCGTTCTGTCTTTCTTCGCATTCAATGAATAATAAAGACAGAACGACACTTGTGTCGACTTGTGTCGCTTGCTGGAAAGCACGGCTAGTCTCCCGTCCTGCAGTATTTCAATACCTCTAATCCTGATGCAGTAATACCATCTCGGAGAGCAGCTAACACGTCGGTTCTATTTAACATTTTTCGATGGTTATCGTCCTCGTCCTCGACGGAGTCGGTGCCGCTCGTATTGGCGGCGCGATCCGGATCGGTCGTCATGTTACTACAATTCAAATGCGTTTCGCTATCAATCCTCTACCTTCAAGGCTTGTCTGTTGTTAATGTAAGAGTTCTCGGATGGCTCGGGAGCCGCGGGCTCGGTGTCCTCGATCTCGGCTCGAATTTTACGTAGGCCGAGAATCCCTACGGTGTATCTTACGTGATCGCACGGCAACTCCGCTCGGCTCGATCGCTGAAGCGGTGCCCTAACATTTACACGGGTGTATCGTACATTGCTTGGGTGCGACGTGAATGGCCTAGTTTACATCGATCACTTGATACGCGTATCAAATAGTAAATAACTAGTAAATCAGTTTAATCATTGGCTGATCAGCTCAAATACACTACTTGATACGCGTATCAAGTGCACGACGTAAACTAGGCCAATGAGGGAATCCATCCAGACAAGTCTGCACAAGCGCGTAAGTGTACGCGTAAAGAAAACGATCGCTTTATTTCTTCATGCGTACACTTGTGGCCCAATCAGACTTCTCGTGCATGCGTTTGTGCGCTGTGCAAGTTTCTCTAAATGGACCTTGAAAGAAAAAAAAGAGGCAAGCGACTAAATTTTAGGGCGGACCTCTAGTACTTCGTTTTCGCAACGTAATTCAAGACTGAACAGATGAGGAAGCGTGTAAGTGGCTCGATTATCTCACGTACAGATGAATATGTACAATGAAAGCAGGGGAAAAATCTATCTCTAACGTAAGCTCCTGGCGATCACACGGGGAGCTCGATGAAAAAATAGAACACTTTAATATTTCCAGCGGGAGCAAGTTGTCTCGTGCCACGCTTTTAAGGGGCAAAAGTTCAGCGGAGGAGACTGCTTTGGCTAATCAACTACGGGTACGGGTTTCAGGCTTGATTAACTCGGATTAATTAATCTCTCGAACAGACAGGAGTGCGCAACGTGGTGTTTGCGGAGCGTGTTAAGCCTAATCTACAACGTGCTTTCTGCGTCTAGAAACATTCTATTTTATATAAACAAATCGAAACGCTTAGAAAAATCGTCGACGGTGTACGATTATACAGTGTGTAATATACAATTTATCAACTTGCACAAAGTTGTTAAACGTATTTATTGGCTACAAAGTAGAATGCTGCTAGACGCAGAGAGCACATTGTAGATTAGGCTTTAGAGTCGTGTGTACGGGGAAGTTTTCGTACGGAGAAGCGAGATTGCGTGAATGAAAAAATTACACGAAGCTTCGGTGCGGAAGTGAACGTAAAACGCGCGGGCTTCGCGTGGGTTCCGACACGTGCTCGGGCGCGATCTTCTCGGCCGCGCGACGTCTCGAGGTCCGAGCGGTAGGTTATTCCGGGCGGCGAGGCGGCGGAGGCTGCGACGCGCGTGGCGAGGAGCGAGACGGCGCGCGGAATGACATTGAGAGAGGACGACGAGCTCGAGGGCGGCCCCGGGATTCGCGCCTCGCGACGCTCCCGCTCGCGTGGCGGGCTGTTCGGCTGAGACGATGGGGCTTGGACGGGACACGCGGGTGCACGAGGCGCGGGGACGACGGGATCGTGTCCGGACGCAGGGCGAAAGAGCCGTACAAGAGGACGAAGCACGGCGGGGGAGGGGGAGGGGGGGCAAAGTGCGCGCGCGAGAATACACGTCACGGCGAGGTACGTCGCGTGCGAAGCGTGCGTGCGTGCGTGCGCGCCTCGCACGCGACGTGGTGCGGAGTTTCCTAGCCAGGATGACGTGGCGGCCAGGGTGGATTATCGAGTCGTACCTTCGAGTCACGGAGCCGAGATCCGCGCGACAGAGAGTGTGAGAGAGAAAGTGAGAGAGACGGGTGAAAACCAAACCTGACCAAAACCTGGGAACGAACAACGGACCACTGCGGAACCGGTCGCTGCCTTATGACGGTTGGACCGCGGGTAAGCGTGCGACACGAAGAGGGACGATCGACGGACGAACGGTTGCGAATCGCGACCAATCGCGAGCGATCGCGATCTCTCGAGCCGGCCAAAGCGCGGGAATCGTTGCGATTCGTTCACACGGCTGCGTCGCGTCGCGTTTATCTGCACTCGAAGACCTCAAAGCTAAAGCCCAATGTCCACGATGCTAGAACTTGGTCCAAGTTCTAGTTTCGAGAAATCTGTAGCCGTGCGTTCTTTTAGGCATCGGATACAGCAGTTTTTGCAGTAATTCATTCTTTTAGCCCGACTGCGCAGTCGACTGCACCGCAGATTTCCGTCAGCCGGCAAATCCGATGCGCAGCGGTTGCCAAATCCGATGCCTAAAAGAACGCACCCATTCTCAATCCGTAGTCTGATACGGGCTTTAAAGCCCGCTGGATTGCTTGCGATTTAGTAAATTACTAGAAATCCTGAGTGCTGAGTGGAGGTGACTTTAAGGCTAACCCCTGATTGGCTCTCGTGAGCGATCCAGTAGGAAAAATAGTATCGTGTGCCGTTGGCTTTAATCGCTAGTTAAAGGCCATGGCACACAGAAAACTTATTGCTAAAGCGGGGAGCACACACTTTTGCACAAGTGCATAAGCATATGCATAACGAATTTGATTGGTCCATTTCCTTGTGCATTTGCTTGTAGACCAATCAAATTCGTTATGCATATGCTTATGCACTTGTGCAAAAGTGTGTGCTTCCCGCTTAAGCCTTGTGTCCACGATCTGAGAAAACTGTGTTCGAGTTGTAGTTCCGAGAAGTGTGTAGCCAATCAATTTGCAGCTTTTACGGAATAGCTGCTAGTTGATTGGCTACATATTTCTCGAAACTACAACTTGGACCAAGTTCTAGCATCGTGGACACAGGCCTTTAATGATCCTCTCCTGTGTTACATTTTATGTAATATCCCTATTCATACGAATACGTCCAAATAATAATATTAATAATAATAATATATATACAGGGTGTTTGAATCGCTATGGACGACCCCAAAGATTATAGTAGATTGGGTTAAACTGAGAAGAAAAGTTATATAAAATTTTACAAAATCGTAATTATAATCGGCCGAA